CCCCAAACTACGGGCCTGTTAGTGACCACAATTTGGTGATGGAATAAAGCAGGAAATCTAATAATCCCAGCAACAAATAGATTTTGCAATAAATGTGAAAAATTCTACATGTTGAAGATGAATAGCGTTTTATCCTTGATTGTTTTTTGTTTGATTTTTTTCCAAACAAATTTTTAGGGATTGTAAATTGCTACCAAATGACTAATTGAATGTAAACTTATACTATCATTCTAGTAAGCCACTCGCAAATTATTTGAAAAACACAATTTACAAAAAGAAAGCGTGTATATACAAAAACAAGTTTCAAGTCATACTGGCTACTTAACATGTACAATGGTACTGGCTATAATGGCTTGTACAGTACTTATGTAGGTAATAAAACCCGGTAATCACATTCTTTATTAGTCTGTCTGTTATCCAGCTGAGCTGCAACAACTTGTGGAAAGTAGGGTACCTTCCTTTATACATCTCTCCAATGTCTCCATGATTCACCAATTAATATCAAGCATATACAAATACAGTATACAAACACCCTATTACATTGTAGTTCATATTTAATGAATAATTGTTTGTATTATTGAAATTAAAATTTGATTAACAAATCTAACCTTAACCCTGTGTCGTTGCTGATAGTATATATTCATATTATCTCTTGGCTGTGTGCATCTAAACTTACCATAAGTGAGTACATAGTATAAACACCACTTTTTTGTGCAGTTAATCAATTAATTATTGAATGTTATAACAGTGTCAGTACACAATGAGGGTAATCACAGTGATCTATGTCTGTATATCTCCTGGAAATTGTAAAATTGAGAATGTTTCTGTCATTTAAAGGGTTAAATTTGAATATCCGTATACATGTTTTTGTTCATGTTTTTGGTCATTGTATGTATCAATTAAAGCGAGAGGGTTGTCACCTGCGCACGCATGGGAATTGAGTCCCAACCGACGATAACAACACATGCTAAAAACACAAAGGCTCATGGGTAGACGCTTGTTTGTAAACAATAACACACTATGGCCATCTGACACATGCGCAGGTGACAACCTCCCGCTTTAAAATTGTAAGTTATTTGTCCGAATTTAAAGAAAAAAAGTTCAGTTTACAGGAAAATCAAAAAACTTGCACAAGCATCATTTTAGAAAAGAAATTGATCAAAAACTTTTATCGTGACTTCACAGTATATACATTGTAATACTAGTATATAAAGTTTATAATACATTACAGTACCTATCTTCAAGGCGAAATTTTGTAAATTGCCTTAGTGTATAACAATAGTAGAATAGAATCTGTATTTTTGACTCCCGTGTGCGAAGCACAAAAGGGAGTCTTTGCAGTTACCGTGTCTGTATGTCTATATGTATGTATGTATGTATGTATGTATGTATGTATGTATGTATGTATGTATGTATGTATGTATGTATGTATGTATGTATGTATGTATGTCACTTTTTTTGTTCCACCGTTATCTCAAGAAACACAAATCAAATT